TCCACTATCTACTTGTCACCATTAGTAATTAAGGTGTAAAGAAACAGGAGATGAACTCATTCTTTTATTTAGAAACTGATATAAAACCTGCCCGTTTTTTCGTATAGAAATATGAACCCCTTGTTTGTTCATTATTAACTAAACGCGTTGCTCTGTGAACAAGTCAAGTTTTTATCATTAAAAGTCATGCGAGTTTGTTTTAAACTGTTATCTGACTAGACTTGAGAACCAAAAGGTTTTATTTCAAGTCCAGACTTCGAATATTTTTCATTGAAAATTCAATATTCTTCATTTTTCTCAGCTTCGTTCTATGGTGCCAGTTACGTGTCTGTTCCATTACAAGATGCCAGTAGCGACACCGATATCTTCTTCCGGTTCAAAACCCTACGTGCTGACGCTCTCCTCTTCCTTGCTGCTGGACCTCCAGACTACTGCTTGGTCACTCTTCATGGTGGTGAGATAAAGGTAAGCCTAACTTACAGCTAGCATTGATTTTAATATCTAATAACGGAAAGCATTATAGCCGAGTTTTCAAAGATTAAAACATCGACGTTTTCTTTAACTACAAATGTTAAAACATTCATGCTTTTTTTAGCGCCAAGTAATTAACACCATAGACAAGTGTGAACTTCCACTGTTTCAAAGTTATACCTACCTGTGTCGTCAAGGGTTAATTAACCAGCGGCAGCTTTGTTAAAAGTTATACCTACCTGTGTCGTCAAGGGTTAATTAACCAGCGGCAGCTTTGTTAAAAGTTATACTTACCTGTGTCGTCAGTGGTTGGTTAACCAGCGTCAGATTTGTTGAAAGTTACACTTACCTGTGTTGTCAGTGGCTGGTTAACCAGCGTCAGCTTTTTTGAAAGTTTACCTGTGTCGTCAGTTTTAGCTTTGTTAAAAGTTATACTTACCTGTGTCGTCAGTGGTTGGTTAACCAACGTTAGTTTGTTGAAAGTTATACTTGCCTGTGTCGTCAGTGGCTGGTTAACCAGCGTCAGCTTTGTTGAAAGTTTACCTGTGTCGTCAGTTTTAGCTTTGTTAAAAGTTATATTTACCTGTGTCGTCAGTGGTTGGTTAACCAGCATTAGCTTTGTTAAAAGTTATACTTACCTGTGTCGTCAGTGGTTGGTTAACCAGCATTAGCTTTGTTAAAAGTTATACTTACCTGTGTCGTCAGTGGTTGGTAGCTTATGCTACCATTTTTTAATAGTCGTAATGAAATGTATCGTCCTGCTTGATAAATAAACTTAAAATACGCAGCTGGTTTAATTGTTTTAAAAGTGATTAGCGAGGATTGTGAATCCGAAGATTTAAAGTTCGCATCCTGTTGCTGGAAAAAAAGCTCTCCGTTCTTAGGGCGTATAGTTACATTAAGGTGACTGTCAGATTCTTCTATTCGTTCAGAAAAAAAATATAGCTGAGATGACTACTGTTGACTAGTTGCCATCCCAAAGTAAGGATGGAGATACACAAGTAGCCTGTGTGTAGCTTTACGTGGAAATTTTATAACAAACACACACACACACACACACACACACACACATATATATATATATATATATATATATATATATCAGGAGTCATCTGTAACGATTCTTGGTATATAGTGGTCAATTCACAGGTGTTTTGAGACTAAGGGATCGTATTCATAATTAATGATGGTGTTACATATTTCTTATGTCAAACATTAACGTAAGGGAAATATTTTTTTATTTTTAATTCTTGGATGACTAATATTATTTCAGGTCCGCATCAATTTAGGATCTGGAGAAGAAGAACTAACATCGGTTCCTGGTCTGAAGCTCAACGACCTCTTGTGGCATGAAATAGAAATACAGAAGATTGATTCCGAACTGACGTTAAGGATAGATGGAATACACACTACTTACTTAGATATAAAAGGACGCTTTTTCGAGTTGAATGTTAAGTCTGGAATCTTTATTGGAGGACTTGGTGGTTTCGACGACTTGTTTTTGGGGAACCTTCAGAATTTCCGTGGGTGTTTAGATGAATTTTTCTTTAACAACATCGACATCTTGCGGCTGGCAGTCGATTCGGCAGACAGGCTCGGTGTTTATGGTGTCACGTGGGACTGTAGTGACGAATTTGAAGCATCTTCTCATCAACCCATCAGTTTTATTGAAGATGAGTCTTTCGTGGCTCTTTCAGCTTTAAGTACGAGAAACGGAGGATCGGTGTCTTTTGATGTCAATACCCAGTCTGAATTAGCTGTACTGTTTTACAACTCAGGAAATCCTTCAAAAACCGACTTTCTGGCAGTTGAAATTATCAGCGGTAAACTCACTTTATCTGTTAATGAGGGTAATGGAGTGGTTGTGCTGACATCAGACAAGGCTGTCAACGATGGACTTTGGCATCATGTTGATACACAGTTTAGCCCAACCTACGTGGAACTGACCGTAGATGGAGAAAGCAAAAACATTAGGCCCGGGCTTGGAGAAAACAGGTTCTTTGATTTTACTGATTACCTGTACGTGGGTGGAATTGAACCTAAGAGGAAGGCACGTGCTCTACAACACGGCTTACAGTCTGTTCTATTGGGAGGTGCCAAGAGTTCTCTGGCAGGGTGCTTGAAGAACATCAAGATCAATAATCAAGTGAGGGGTCACAGAGAGGTAGAGATCAGCCGGGGCGTCCGTTCTGATTGTGTTTGGGAATACCCCTGTCTTCAGAAACCTTGCATCGAGGAAGCTGTGTGTTTGCAGGAAGGTTTTGATAACTTTCGCTGCACCTGTGACAAATCTGTGTGTGTTCGTAGTAACTTCAGTTCGGGTTACAGGCTTTTCACCAAATCTTCACTTCCCGTGGACATGGAAATATTGACCCTCAACCCACTGGAAGTTTCTGAAGGAGGAAACGATTTAATAACATCAAAACACATCAATATCGTGCTAGACTATCAAAAGTACGGAGTGAGAGAATCCGGTGTTTTGTTTCATATAGTGGATCCGCCTAAACACGGAACGTTAGAGATAGAAATATGGAATAAAATAGCAGACAACATCTTCACCCTATTGGATCTGTATACTGATAAAGTGCGGTACACACACGATGGATCCGAAAACCATAGTGACGAGTTTGTCACAGAGCTAGAATTCCGCGCTCGGAATTACCGCTTACCCCCGTTCTTAGAAGAACGTCACAGATTTGTATTTCACATTAAAGTGTCTCCTGTCAATGATCCTCCTCGGTTGATACTCCCACCCAGTAAAGTGCTGAGGCTTGCCAAGCACACTAAGATAGCCTTCACCTCGGACGTATTACACACGGAAGATCCTGATAACGAGGCTAGTTCATTGGTTTACTCAGTACTCAGTATAAGGACTGACAATGAAGGTTTTGTGGAAAATGTACGAGACCCAGGAAAACCTGTGGACACTTTCACACAGGAGGAAATAAACAACAAACAAATTAACTACGTCCATCGAGGGCCAGCGAACACTCGTATTGCCCTGAGGGTATCTGACGGGATTGAAACAGGACAGACTATGGTGCTCAGAGTAGCAACGTTTGACTTAATGTTGTCACTAATAAACAATACGGGAATCGTACTTCCTTACAATTCTTACGCCATTATCAGCAATAGCAACTTGACTTTCGCTACGAACTCTCCAGATCAAGATCTGGAGATTCGTTACGATGTAACAAGACTACCACAACACGGTAACATTCAGAAGCGAAGAAACAACGGGCGTTGGCGACCAGTGAATCACTTCACCCAGAGACACCTAAATAAAGGTAAAGTTAGATACGTACACACTTCGGGAAAACCTTCCCAAGACGAATTTAAGTTTTCAGTGTCCTGCATGGATATAAAAGTGTCCACGATTTATGACTTTCGCATCATCTTTATTAAAGTGTCTCTGATTGAAGTTAGTAATGAGAATTTAGTACTAAATAAAATAACGGAAGACATCCTTACCTCGGACCATTTAAAATATCAAACTTCGCCCGTTGAAACTCCCACGACTAAAATACATTATACAATCTTAACTCCTCCATCTTATGGCCACCTTTTTCTCACCAAACCTGGAGTAAAAGAACCCTGGAAGTTAGAGGTGGGTTCTGTCTTCACTCAAGAAGATATTGGAAACAAGTTCATCAAGTATAAATTGCTTTGGAAATCTTATTCAGCTATTAATGACACCTTTCATTTCAAAGTAGCCTCGACTGGAGTTGCTACCAAACCACAAGTTTTCTCTGTTATCCACATTCCAGTCGTCACTGGTGCCATGATCCAGGTTGAAAAGCTACAAGTTCTAGAAGGTGGGCAGGCAGAAGTTAACAAGGGTTACCTGTACGTAAAAACACCGACAACAGAAACCATTATTTACAACGTTACAGCTCAGCCACAACACGGTATATTAAGACTAATGAACTCCGCCCTCACGGTTGTCGAAGAGGACAATCCAAACTCGTTTTCAAACGAAGACTTAGAAGAAAAACGGTTGTTGTACATCCACGATGATTCAGAACACGATAAAGACAAGGTTCGATTTACTGCATTCGCTGATAACTCTGATGACGACTTTGTGTATTATGGAACTCTCCACATCGGAGTGATGATGAAGAATGATAACCCACCCGTTCGCAGTATAGATAAGACATTTTTCGTCAAAACTAACGGCGAGAGAAAGCTGACCTCCAAAGATCTCAAGTACGAGGACTTAGATATTGATTCCAAACCTACCAATATTCAGTACACTCGCAGAGGTATTCCAAATGGTGCCCTTTTCCATACTGATTCGCTTGATACTCAGGTTTTCCAGTTCACGCAAGATGACTTGGACAAGGAAAGACTAATATTCCGACATAATGGGCCATCTTATGGTAAAGCCGTGCTGTGGATTACAGACGGACAGTTTTACGTCACGGGGATATTAGAAATACAAGCATCAGGTCCGTTCATTAACGTTACAAAAAACACTGGTTTAATAGTGCAGAGAGGCGACACCGGGCGTATTACAACAAGGAACCTCAGCGTAGAAACTAACGTTGGCTCAAGCATGAACGACCTCACTTTTAAAGTTGTTTCTCGGCCAAGTCACGGTGAACTTCTAATTAACGGAAATGTAGTTCACCAGTTCCGATACAGAGATTTAGAGCTAAGCCTACTCGAGTACGAAAATGATAACAGTCAGAGCTTTTCTGATTCATTCGAGTTCTTGGCGTTTGTGGAAGACGTCAGTGTAGATGGAATATTCAGTATTCAAGTCTTTCCCGAAAGCTTCTGGGAGTCACTCCAGGTGCTAAGCAACAAGACAATCTACGTGGACGAGGGTAAGGCCGTTGTTATAGACCCGGCGTCGCTGAACATCGCTCACACTAACATTAACCCAGCTAACATATCTTACATCATCACGATAGATCCCCAAATGGGATTTATTCGTGTTAACGAAAACAATACGTACCATAACGTGAAAACAAGTGACAAGACGTCCAGACGAAGATTCTCTCAGGCTATGATCAATGAAGGGATCGTCGAGTACGTACAGACGAAAAGTAACGTGTCCTTTGATTATTTCATATTTGATGTTACAAATGGAATAACAACCATGCCAGGTCTTCAGTTTACTATCAGTATTATATCCAATGTGATTCTTCTTCTGACTGGGAACATTACCGTTGTCGAGGGCGGAGAAACTTCTCTGACGCCCGAAGAAGTGAATGTAGCCAACCCTTATTATAACGACTGGGTATCCGAATACTTAGTGATAGAAGAACCCAAACACGGCTACCTTACAAACAGTAAACTCCCCGGTAGCAAGTTACTCAAGTTCACACCGTTCCAGTTAAAAAGCGGACTGATACATTACAACCACGACGGGACGGAGACAACAAGAGATTGGTTTACTGTGGTTGCCGGGGCTGCAACCTTACACAAGGAGAGTGCCCCCAGCAGTATTCACGTCACGATAACCCCCGTAAATGACGAGACTCCACATCTAATCAACAATACTGGATTGGAAGTTTGGGAGGGTTCCTTAGCAACCATCACTAATAACCATCTTGCGGCTGGGGACGACGACTCTGGGCCCAATGACATCGTCTTTGACATTTCCGCTCTGAGTAATGGTTATGTGGCCTTGAAGAATGAAACCAAGACTCCGATTGAATCCTTCTCTCAAGATGACATCAACAGAGGATTGGTTATTTTCGTCCACACGGGTATGTACTATTCAGTATTGGTAGTTAGTATTCAGTATTGGTATGTAGTATTCAGTTTTGGTAGTTAGTATTCAGTATTGGTAAGTAGTATTCAGTATTGGTAGTTAGTATTCTATATTGGTAAGTAGTATTCAGTATTGGTAGTTAGTATTCTATATTGGTAGTTAGTATTCAGTATTGGTAGGTAGTATTCAGTATTGGTAGTTAGTATTCAGTATAGGTAGGTAGTATTCAGTACTTGTAGTTAGTATTCAGTACTTGCAGTTAGTATTCAGTATTGGTAGGTAGTATTCAATATTGGTAGTTAGTATTCAGTACTTGTAGTTAGTATTCAGTACTTGTAGTTAGTATTCAGTATTGGTAGTTAGTATTCAGTATTGGTATGTAGTATTCAGTATTGGTAGTTAGTATTCAGTATTGGTGGGTAGTATTCAGTATTGGTAGGTAGTATTTAGTATGTGTATGTAGTATTTAGTAGCTTATATATGTAAAAGATATCGCTCCCTAGTGGCTCAGCGGTAAACATGAAGGCTTAATAACGCTAAAAACCGGGTTTTTATGGCCCATTATATAACTTTGCACTTAACAACAAACAAACAAAATAAAAATATCTACCAAGGAACAGAAAGAAAAAAAAACATCAGAATTATAGCAGTTACAGAAAATTGGAAAAGCTACTTCTGTAAGAGTAGATAAACAATACCTACAAACCTCGGGTGCGACACCAGTAAACGTATATTTTACATAAGTTAGGCTTGTTTAAAACCAACCTGTATAGTAACATATAACCAACTGTACTAGAAATAACAGATTATTTGACAAGCTAGGACTAGCCTTGCCGAAGGTAATATTTCTTTGTTCCGATAATGTTTATTAATTATTGCATTAATAAATAAATAAAGTCCATATTACCTATCAGAACAGTATGGTGATGTGCAATGTTACCTAGTCAACATTGAACGACGATACTGAATGTCATGGTGCGCTCTAGTTTTAAAGTCCTTTTTCTTTTTTGGTATCTTTCTGGTAAAACCATCTGCACTGGGATAACAAAAGAACATAAGTAAAGTATGTTATGCAAATGTTCGTGTACATTCTGAAGTAATATATACATTTTTCATGTACATTCTGAAGTAATATATACATTTTTCATGTACATTCTGAAGTAATATATACAATTTTCATATATATATTAAAGTAATATATACATTTTCCATGTATATTCTGAAGTAATATATACATTTTTCATGTATATATTAAAGTAATATATACATTTTTTGCAGCTTTCGGATTTACATCAACAACAAAAAAGGCATTAACTTTCGATTTTATCTTTTTCAATTCAGATATTCATTTAACCGATTCTATTAAGATTTGAAGTATATTTTTGATAAGTTTATATTTACTAGTACTTTTATTTTGAAACACGAGTTTACTTGAAAACTACAGTATCTATTTCGTAAATTCAATAGTTTTACAATTTTTTAATATTTCCTTATTTGATAATAAATGTGAATTAAAGTTTTTAATTTACCATTACATTATGGTATAATCCCACACATTTTCATATTATAATTTACCATTACATTAT